ATTCTGACTACACAGTATGGTCTTGTGACAGCACTACTCATTATAACGCGACCCTCGTTTTTCGACACCTTTGAACTTGAGCGAATGGGTTTACCATAGTATACCTCGTCACAATATCGATATTCGCTACGCGTTATTCGTCATTCAGTTTCGTTTCTTTGCGTCATACAGACCACGCGATTCAGCGTTTGTTATGGACACAGCAGTTGCAACGTAGCCACAGCCCTTCCGTCATTGATCGTGGTGTTGTATTGTAACTGTCAACATCATATCCGATGTGACTTAGTCAGTGCTAATATAGTACAAAGACTCAAAGGACAACTAGACAGACCCTTTCGCCCCCATTCACCTGGCACTTCCAATCGGACCACATCGGTTGAGTACTGGTAGTGTGACATTTGTGTTGATGGCTAGAGGTGGCGCTGTGACCTGCCAGTCTGGTAGTTTGATGGCACGAGCAGAAAATTATGTGCAAGTAACCTGCAGTAATAATTTTGGCTCCGTACAACGAATGATGATATTGAAAATCACTGAGTCTCGATCGATTTATAGGCAATCAGATCGGTGTGTCAGTCACATCGAGGGTACAGAGCAAAAGACCGAAGGAGAGCATACCTCTCATTTACGTAATCAAGGACATAAATGCACTTCACTCGGTCGATTTTGCTGATTTGAACGGCATTGGAACAGGCAGTGAACCGAATTTAGGCCTGCGGTTGCAAACGACCTGACATGTTGCCAACTATCTTGGCATCACCCTTATTATCCACAATAGACGGAAATGCTCGCATGGGATGAGGACAAACCACGAGTCTACCACTTGTCTGATAGGTGTTCTTGCAACCGAGCTGTTGGGGATGCTCGCTGCAAGTCACACTCATGCGCACGAACCCCACAGGTCAGTTGCTACGCCCCATGGACTAGAGTTTAGTTATTAGCGAGCCTAATGATTGAGTTCCGCTGAAACAGACACTGAGGTCGTTTAGGTATCCAAATAGCCATTTTGTAGATGACAACGGAATAGGTGAATACTTAGTGAAACCCTTCTACTCTGCATAAATTAAATCAAGATTTTAATCCGGGGACCTTCGCGTATTAGCTTGAAGGTCGGCTGCTGACAGATTGTTCCGATACAAGACTGGGAAATCAGCTGCTGTATATGATTGTTCCCTTCTATGGTATAAGGTGAAGTGGTCCTCGTTTGCCGTTTCGCTTATCTTATTTTTCATTTGCCTTTATGTTTGCAAAGTGACTTTGTCGAGGAACGACCCCGTTACAGCGTCGTTCTTGCTCTCTGTCACCATCAGGGGTGGTTTTCAGTCAATTGGGAAAATTTATGAACTGATCGAGAGGTCACCGCTTCAGAAAGGTTTAGTACTTTGTACGTGCACTACGGTGCTACTTGCAATTTTTCAGTAGCGTATTGGCCACAAGGGAAATCCTAATGAGAGCAAACTACCGAACGTGTGGTTCACGACAAAAGTACGATTGTGGTTTTTCAGGAAAATATGGACAGAATGAACAGATTTTATCGAGAGTCTTGCCACCACATCAAGACATGAATTCAGTCACAATGTGCCTGACTAATTTCACTGAAGTCTTCACCTTCGTTTGCATTGCTCTACCAGAAATTGGCGTTAATTAACGCGAAAAAATCAGTTGTTTATTCCTGAATAATTGCTCTGTTAAACCGAACTTTGTAGTACTGAATCCATATGCTTTCAGCTTAGGCGTAATGCGCACATAATGGGGTAATATGTAACCGGTTCTACGAAGGCAGATGACTTCAGAACAAGGTATATAAACTGAAAACGGGTGAACTACAGAAAGAAAGATGAAACTGAATAATTTGTTTGCACAGAACTCACACAACAGCAGTAGTACCGTGCGCTATATTGGATAGCCATGGTAAGTGTACGTGCATGGCTAAAGTGAATTGAATGTGAGTTTACTCAAATTATAGCTTAGGTATCTTCAATATCTGGTACACACAATCAGTCGGGTTCAAATTAAAGTCATTCTCTGCCAGAACAATAGTTTTGGTGGCTTTTTGCTAAGTTGGTTGCTTGACCTCCTAAAACTTTAGACCGTAGCATTGACTGCCAACGTTACGGTCTCACTGATGACGAGACCGCTTTGGTACTCAACGGTTCCAACTCTGAAAGAAAAAAACTCCAGTACTCGAAGAAATATAGGCTAATGCACAGTTCCGCACCGCTCTTTATCAATATGTAATGATCTTTAGGGCGAAGTTGCGGAAATGAGCGTAGTGAAATAAGAGTCAGTCACATTACTGGTCAGCCATTCATGGCCATACGGTCAAATGTTTAACCTGTGGCCGGAGACTTGCTGGTTCGAAACAATCTGACCTTCGTGAGATGTGCACTATCGATGATTTCCAGAAGGATATTTTTTGGCTGGCTTAGCCTCACTGACAGGACCATATCTCTATTGAAAATGACATCTCTCCACATCACCGTGAAAAGTCTTTGTTGGAAATGTTTCGTTGAATTATTCCTGTACAGAGATACGGGACTTTTTGCTACTGGGGAGTTCGAAGGTCAAGGGTAAGACACACGTTTACGTCCACACGCAATTGCAGGTTAAGCTGTGGTAGCTGTGCTGAAACCATACGATTTGAGCGGATAGTTTTCTAATCGGAAATGGAATGGCTTGATCGCCTTCTCTCTTTTTCACACACACCCATTCAGGCCCAGCTTTAACACTTGTCGGGATTGGCTAGATGAATGCCTACTCTATCTCACCAGCGGGAAAGTTCCTCCGGAAGGCATCATGGAGAGATGAAGTCGGGATAACTGCCTCGGTGGCGACATTCCAGTGGAATCAAGCCCGTGATATTTTTTGTATGTTCTATACTAGTATGTATTTTCACAAATGTCACTAAAAACATTCCATTTGTAAAATACTCTTCGTCAGCTTGGAAAAGCCGCTACTTGAACACCCTCTCATTTTTGGAGGTGGAAGATCCGTTTTGCTCAGGATCAACCCATGTTCATTACTGTAGCTCTGTTCATTTGCTAAGAGAACAGGTTATTTTTTTACAAAAAAGTATGATACCTATTTCATACCTTGTCATAAAACTTTGGTAAGGGATATTGACCTTCATTTGTCGAAAATAAGATAGCGAAAAAAAGGAAACTGTTCGACGGAGTTCCCGCATCGCTTCCGACATCGGAATGATGCTTCGGATAGGCTAACTGGCAACGCGGTGACTGCAGTAATAACAATTGGTCTTTGCTTCTGAAATCTCAGCTCTATGAGGAAGAAGGCCCTCAGTTCAACATTTTAGCCCTGGTTCAGTAATCCAACCGGTGCGGAAAGACTGAGCGGTCTTCCATCACTGCCCAGTCAAGAGTACGTCAATTTGTTTGTAACAGGTTAGGATACTTCTCTGCAAAATTCAATCCGGTAGGATCATCGATCGTCAAAACGGATAGTTGGGTAACGCTCTCTCTATATGACTTTGCATCCGTCCTACCCCGTCGCGCTTTGAGATATCGACACAACCGTGTGTAGTAAGGTGAACTCTTTAAGACTAACTTTTTTCATGAATGCACGTTATTTTATCGATTGCAGAAGTTTAGAAGGTCAGTTTGCATTAACGTAACAGTTGTCTGTGTTACAATCATTGGCAATGTGACTGACGCGTACAATGTCATCGCAGCAGTTCATTTTGCATGACGTCAAAAACAGTTATAGATAATGTCTACAAAGTTGTTATGTACGAATAAAAGAGGAACTCACAATGAAAACAAGATGATCTACGCAGTAACTTGATGAACCAACCAGTTAGATGGAAGTAGTTACAACATATAACGCAACAAAAATTGATGAGAGAACTACTGACTAGATGAATCAACGTGAAATGAGCAACTCAGCAAGCGTTGTTGAATGTTCTCGTGTTGGTAATGTGTCCAAATATTGGTAGCTCGGGTGAGTTTATTGGTTGTTGATCTGTTCGCCGAGCTAGACAGTTGACTTGCAAACGTTTCGTCACCTTAAGAGGAGACATCATCAGTGCTCAGTTGGGTGGCTACTTTCTGTTTGCCTGCGTACGTTTATAAAGGATTTAGAGGCTATCTGTTATCTCCTAACGTGACTGGCTACTGATGATGTCTCCTCGTATGGTGACGAAACGTTTGCAAGTCAATTGCCGAGCTCGGTGAACAGATCAGCAGCCACCTGATCAACAACCAATAATGTTCTCGTGTGCAACACCCAACTCCCATTGTTTGCTACAAGCTCCAAACATTCATTGCGCTATCTGCCTGAGAAGTTCTAACAGGCGGGTCAGCCGATCGACACAACCAGGACGGTTACTGGGTCGTCGTTCGAATTGTCGGACAAGTGAAACCTTTCGCTCAAGCGTAGACAAATGCACGGACATGAGGATTCCGGTGCATGCAACGTGTGATGGTAGAGTAGTGGCATAACACACTCGCTTTGCTTGTTACATATCCGAATTTCAAACCTGGACTCAGTGAAAAATGTGCACTGCGGATGGGCTCTAATAGGAGTGAAACTCGGGTTCCCCCTTGATGTGGGTTTACCGGGATAAGTACACCAGGACAGGAGAGCCGTTAAAACGCGAATGATGTGAACGTGAATTCCAACTAACCGTGATATTAGCATGTCGACCTCTATTTCTTTACTAGCATTGGCCCGGTAACACAAAGTACGATTTCCCGTTGGTGTGTATGGTTAGTCTATAACTGTACAAATGTTTCAGCTTTATCGGCCAACATTGCAGTAACGTCCACACTCCCCGTTTATTTAGTCGTTATCTAGTAAGGAAATTGGACACAATGCACTTGAGGAACCATTTACTTTGTGGGGGAAATGTGCTCAGCTATTGGCTACTAGAAAACCGACTGTCCTAGTGAGTAGTGTGTTACGTGGCTGGAAAAATGATTTTGCAAGCACAGTAACATGCACAAGGTAGCTGCCTATTTTATCACTTATTTTTTAAGAGCATGGTCACAAACATAAAAAGTGAATGCAAGCGACGAATGCGAAAGAGTAACAGGAGAATATGGGAGAAAAGAGAGAAACGTCTTACTCGAAATCATGCTAAGAACAGTTCCAGTCTGGTGAGGTGAATCCCAAAGTATGTAAAGATTTTGGTATGGTATGGTCTAAAGACCAACAGCCGAAGAAAGGACAAACAATGGTGAATGCTCTTCAAGGCGCGGTAGGTGCTGGTGCAGTCAAGACTCGCACATCAGACACAAAGTGTCCGTAATACTGGGTCTGGTGTGAGAGTAAATGGCAAAAATGTACATTCAACGCCATGTGCCACGCATATAAGTGTCATAAGTACGCAGACAGCCCACAATGGCCAGCAGACACAAGTCACTGACTGCGAACTTAGGAAGTCCCGGTCCAATAACAGCCTTAGCGGATTGAGGAAAGCAGATCCCTCGATAAGGGATGATCGTCGGTTGGTGAACCAAAAAATCGACATCACAACCGATGGCATGTAGGGATGAGATTATGGCGAGGGAATATTCATCAGCACCATACTTCTGCTTCTTCTCATTCCACACAGTCAGTCCACGCCCATCCGAGACTATGCTGACGTCTATTACAGTTGCACGGCGATCTCGAACAGCGATTAGGTCAGGTTTGATGAAGGACGTCGAAGTAGGTGCTCTCAGCTCCATGTTTATTTCATCATAGTAGATAGTCCTCTTCATCAGTGTCACATACTACTCATAGACAGGTATAAAAAGTGAAGCCTTTTCTTTCAAATTAGCACAGAATATATTGCAGACTGCTACAACCTCGTCCTTCAAGTATGTGTTGTGCTGAATACATGATGGTATAACATTGATGTGGGTAGTTTTGGAGTTCCTCATGGTTCTTGGTTAAAGTTTTGGAGTGATTTGACAACTGTTAGAGAGAACCTAGGCGTTAAAAGAGCTTTTATCGATTACGGGGGGACGGAACAATGAGCTCTGACGTTGCATAACGCTGGGAGCAGACAATCTGAATTTTCAGAAAATAGTCCGCAACCAAGTGAGGCAAACGACACAAAATACCCGGTTGGCTTGTGGTTAGTGAAGGAATGTACAACCATGAGAAGACAATAGGCACATTGCATTGTGGTATGGTTCCTCATGCACAGGACATGATTGATCGAATGACCGTTAACCAACAGAAAATTGGTTAGTAGCAGTAAGAACGACAACCGACACACAATCAAGCTTTAGCTGGATTTTGTGCACATGAAGCGTCTGTAACCGACGGTAGGCTTACATTAGTCTGAAAGATGCCAAGGAATTTAAGGAAAATGGAGGGAACATCTGCTCAGTTGACCAGAATTACACGCTGTCAAAAATAGTCTTGTGGTTACTAGACAATCAGATAATTTTAGAACAACCGACTAGTCAATTGATGATAGTTACTGCCTTATCGTAACCATCAAATATCTGGGTTTCGTGTTTACTTCTTCGTTAAAACACCGCGTTTCCATGTTTAGCAACCGTAGTGCTTGGATGATTAAATAACCGTGATTCAGCCGCACTCCAACGTAAATCCTGGAGCTATAGAAATCACCATATTTTTTGCCACTGAGCAGTTGGTTGACCACTTTCTGAGACCAAGACACAACCATTGTATAATTACCCTTTTCGATCATTGCTAGATTGAATAACTGTCCAAAGACGTTCATTATTGCATTGTGGTCGACCAGCCGCGTCTCAACTGAGCTCCGTATTCCACAGTTATTCGACAGCCAGTTAGTTTATTGTTAACCCGATTTTGCGGTTAAATGGCTACAAAAACAGATTCTCAGTCAGTTGGTCAGCTATCGCTTAACTGCCGGCAAACACGATATTACGGCTAAATAACCAATATAAAACTGTGGTACAACCATTTCTCCTCGTTGTGACACAGTCAACCATGGGAATAATCGAATAGTGGGATTAAGTGATAGCCTCATCCGCAAATGGTTATACTGTCGCCTTCTAGTCTCATGTGGAAACCAACGCACGACGTCTCAGCAACCATAATACGTGCTACCTCATCCAACTTTGGCTCTAGACCGCAGTATCTCCCGAACTACACTGCAACCGCGGTCGGTTAGACTTGTTGGTCTTGCAGTTATACACAGACAATCGCGTCTGTACTTCAAGACGTGATGATCAACAACAACCGAGGGTTTTACAGATCCTCTGTCGTTCCTCACAGACTGTAGATCGCACGGGAATAACTAATAATTGGTACCCAAAGCATCACACTTATAAATGTAACTAGGCAATTGCCAAGTAGTGGCCTTCAGTCTGACGAATTGATGCCCAATGTGACCACCTTGGTTGAAACCAAACGCAATGGCTAGCGCGACTGTTTAAAAGAAACCTACTATTGATGACGTTGTAAGTAGTTAAATCAGAAACTCGGAGTCCGAAGGCTTGACACCATCTGCCGCCTGGGAGTGCTCCCACCAAGCAATCGACAAGCGAAAGCCCGATGGGCTAACGGAGATGGCGTCTGTGTAAGCCTCAGACGGGATGGACTCTCATGTGAAGCGATTATGAATTAAATAAGCCACCCTGAGTCAAATTGTACGGATCGAAGACTGGAAAGTTAGGCGGGAAACATACACGGGAATCGTATACAAGAAGGGGATGCCCATGTCAACACTGAATGCTACACTTCAAAGCCAATCAACATGCTGGTCAGAAAGGGTTCAGTTGGTAACAGAAATCAGTGGGTACAGCCCCGCTTGGTAGGGTCGCACGGGGTGCAGCACCGGTATACTCAACCAGTGACCGACATCTTGGAGTGAAATGTGGCAGGGATGGATATACGGATTTGGACTTTGGTCCCGCAAACTACTGGAAAAGAATCCCTGTACGGACGCTGTTGTGAGTTCATCGAACAAGCATAGAAATGTACGCCGGGAAAATGTTGCAGCGGAAAGGCGTGTGCATGTGGCACTCAGGCGACATAGTGTGGCAGTAAAATACTTGGCAAGCAGGATATTATTCGCAGTTGCCAAACGAAATCTGAGATTCGCACTGTTGGTCTGCGAAAGTTTTATACAAGTTTCAGCTGAACGAAACTGGCGTCAGCCAAAATT